AGCGGGCTCCCCGCTGAGCAAGGAGCCCCACACGGGACTTGATCCCAGGACCCGAGCCGAAGGCAGATGCCCAACTGACTAAGCCACCCAGGCATCCCAAACCCAAATACCTTTTATAATTCTGTTTCACTGAATCTATAATAACACTCTAATATTCAAAATACATCACAGCCTGAGGAGCTACAGTTTTTATGGAACAACCCACTAAGGAGGTCCCTAGGTCTCGGTTGAACCGGGTTAAGAATCAGTCTTTTGAAGTCTCTTGATTCCAGGACCAAGACGGCTAGACTCTTAGCACCTTATAAATGATTGATACCATAGTCAATGAATAAACAAACAAACAAACATCCTGTTAACTAGTGGTTCTCAAACTTGGATGCTCATGAGAACCCCCTATGAGCTTATATAAAATGGAAATTCCTGGAGGTCCAGTCCACTCACATCTATGGAATCAGGATCTCCAAGTGTGAGGCGAGGGGCCTATTTTCTTTGCCTTGCCCAATTAAATAGGTGAGGCTGCTTAATGGACTGGTACTGGGAAACCTGCTTTATACAAATATAGGTGTTCACCCCGTCTCACATGATCAATAACCTAGGGTGAAAGCACTCAGAGGTGCTGTGGGAAATAAAGATCAACCAAGATCGGACGTTGCCGATCTAAGGCCTAAGAGCAAGTGGGCAGGAACACGCAGCTGTGTGGATTCCTCCCTCTCTCACATCTCCTCCCCCTCTCTCCGCTACTGGCCCTCCCTCTTACTGAACTGAGAACACTGAAACAGTCTGAGGAATTGGGCACAGTCTGAGTAAATAATGGCCAAACGTTTCCTAAATTTGTGAAAGACATAAATGTACAGATTCAAGAAGCTCAGAGAATCCCAAGAAAGAGAAGTTCAAAGAAAATGACATCTGGAGACTGCTGAAATAGTCAACTGCTGAAAACCAAAACCAAAACAAAACAAAACCTGAAAAGCAGCCAGAGAAAAACACATTACATACACAGTTAAAGTTACCACCGCCTTCTCATTAATGAGAAAGACCAAAAGACAGTAGAGTGATACATCTAAAGTGCCTAAAGAGTGAAACTGTAAACCCAGAATTCTATATCCAGGGAAAACATCCTTTAAGAATGAAGGTGGGGAGGGGCGCCTGGGTGGCCCAGTCGTTAAGCGTCTGCCTTCGGCTCAGGTCATGGTCCCGGGGTCCTGGGATCGAGCCCCGCATCAGGCTCCCTGCTCGGCGGGAAGCCTGCTTCTCCCTCTCCCACTCCCCCTGCTTGTGCTCCCTCTCTCGCTGTGTCTGTCTCTGTCAAATAAATAAATAAAATCTTAAAAAAAAAAAAAAAAGAATGAAGGTGGGAGCGCCTGGCTCAGTAGGTAGAGTGTGTGACTCTTGATCTAGGGGTTGTGAGTTCAGGCCCCATGTTGGGCATAGAGTCTACCTAAAAACATAAGGGGGGGCGCGCGTCTGGGTGGCTCAGTTGGTTAAGCGTCTGCCTTTGGCTCAGGTCACGATCTCAGGCTTCTAGAATCGAGCCCCACTTGGGTCTCCCTGCTCAACTGGGAGTCTGCTTCTCCTTCCCCTCTGCCCCTCCCCACCGCTCATGTGCTCTCTCTCTCTCAAATAAATTAAATCTTACACACACACAAAACAAAAAAGAGAAAGAGAGAATGAAAGTGAAATAAAGAAATGTTCAGATAAAAGGAAAGTAAAACAACAGATCTGGGGTGCCTGGCTGGCTCAGCCGGATAAGCTGCTGACTCTTGATTTCGGCTCAGGTTATAATCTCCTGGGTCCTGGGATCTAGTCCCATGTTGGGCTACTTCGGCTCCACACTCAGCAGGGAGTCTGCTGCTCTCCCTTCCCTCTGTCCCTCCCCCTCCCCGAAATAAATAAATCTTTATTTATTTATTAGAGAGAAAGCACAAGCAGGGGGAGCGGCAGAGGGAGAGGGTGAAAATGACTCTCCGCTGAGCAGGGAGCCCAATGTGGGGCTCAATCCCAGGACCCGGGATCATGACCCGAGCCGAAGGCAGACGCTTAACTGACTGAGCCACCCAGGGGCTCCACTAATTAGAATTTAGATAATTTGGAAGGAAAAAAAAAAAGGAAATCGTAAACATAGAAGTAAATATGAAAGACAAATTTTTCTTAATTTCTGTAAAATAAAAATTATAATACTAGATTATGGGATTTCAAAGGTATGTAGGTGCAACAGACAGGACAACCAGAGCATAAAGGCTACATGACAGAGTTGCACAGTTCTTACATTTTATTTTTTGGTTTTTTAAATTTTTTTTTTTGAGAAAGAGAGTGCACGCATGTAAGCACACACATGTGCACAAGCAGGGGGGAGGGGCCGAGAGGGGGAGAGAGAGAATCTCAAGCAGGCTCCACACTCAGCATGGAGCCCAACACAGGACTGGATCTCATGATCCTGAGGATCATGACTTGATCTGAAATCAAGAGTCAGACTCCAACTGACTGAGCCGCTCAGGCACCCCTAAGGTTCTTGCATTTTATATAAAGTAGGCTGTGAGAGCCAATGATGCCTGCTGTAATCCCTAGATCAGCCACTTAAAAAAAAAAAAGGGAATGACATATAGCTAAAATACCAGCAAAAAAATTTTTTGAAATTTCAATTTTGAAAAAAATTGCAGTTGTTCAAAAGAAGATAGGGAAGGAGGAACAAAGGGACAAAAAACAGGAAAAAAAAAGAGAAAGCAAAGAGTAAAATGGTAAGCCTATATTAAAAAGTACACTATTTTTATGGACTCAAAAGAAAACCCTGAATGGCCAAAGCAATCTTTTTTTTTTTTTT